GGCAAACTGGAGAGGATCAAGTGTTTCTGGAATGCTGGCTTTAATGTGCGGAATAAATAGTTTTTCAAAGCACTTCATTATGATGGGGGTGAGTGCAATAGGGCGGTAGTCGTTTAGGCATGTGGGGGCTGATTTTTTCAGTACTGGCAAGATGGTGGTTGTCTTGAAGCAGCTAGGTACAGTGGCCTGGGCCAAGGACATGTTGAAGATGTCGGTACAGACATCAGCTATCTACCAGGCACATGTTCTGAGTACCAGGCCAGGGATACCATCAGGTCCAGCAGCTTTATGTGTGTTCACTCTACTTAGTGATTTCCACACATCTAGCTTCGATAGTGTGGGGGGTGGGGTGGTAGGGGAGTCAGTGGTCCAGGTGGTTGGTTCAGGATTTTGAGCTTCGAAGCGTGCATAGAAGGTGTTAAGCTTGTTTGGAAGAGAGGGGTCAGTAGCACTTACAGGGCTTGTTTTGCTCTTGTAGCTTGTGATTGTATTTATGTCTTGCCACATGCGTCGTGGGTTAGCGTTGGTGTTGTAGTGGTGTTCTATCTGGGATTTGTACTGTTTCTTGGCAGATTTTATGCCAGCTCTTAATTCTTTCCTAGCCCCTCTCAGTTCTTCCTCATTACCAGATTTGAAGGCTGCATCATGGGCTTTGAGCAGGGAGTGGATCTCAGTTTGATTCGGGAGTTTGCGTGTCTTTTTAACGCTCACCACATCATCAGCACATTTGCTGATGTAGCTAGTGACTGCTGATGCATACATATCAATATCAGTGTGGGATCCATGGGAGGCTGCATCTTTGAACACACTGCAGTCTGTGCACTCAAAACAGTCCTGAAGCATTGATTCTGCCTCTTTGGTCCATGTTTTTACAGTTATAACTGGAGCCTTGGTGCGTTTGAGAAGTCGTCTGTAGGCTGGGAGTAGGAACAGGGAGATGTGGTCAGATTGTCCAAGAGGGGAGTGAGGTACTGCTTTGTAAGCACCGGGTACATTAGTATAAACAAGGTCAAGTGTGTTGTTTCCCCTGGTGGGGCAGTCAACATGTTGGTTGTAGCTAGGCAGGACTGATTTTAGATTTCCCTGATTAAAATCACCTGCAATAATAAAAACACCATCAGGGTGTGCAGATTCCTGTTTACTAATAGCTTTGGACAGCGTTTTGACTGCTTCCTTAGCATTAGCGTTAGGAGGTATGTATACAGCAGTAATAATGACCGACGTGAACTCCCTAGGTAGGTAGAAGGGTCGGCATTTTACCATTAAATATTCTAAGTCGGGTGAGCAGTGGATAGCGATTTCTGTAGTATCTCTGCACCATGCTTGGTTGACATAAATACACAGACCTCCTCCTTTATTTTTACCAGAGGCGGCTGTTCTGTCCGATCGGAGAGTTAAAAAAATCATCCGGTGGAGTCCGGTATGTTGTTTTGAAGCCATGTTTCTGTAAACACAAGAGTGCAGCAGTCTTTTATTTCCTGGCGAGTAGTGAGCCTGAGTTTTATTTTGTCCAGGTTTTGTCTAGGGACCGTATGTTAGCGAGGAACAGGCTGGGTATAGGTGGTCTGTTCTGCTGTTCTTTTAGTCTTATTTGCAGCCCGGCTCTCTTACCGCGTTTCTGTTTGCGCTCGCACCGCTTGCGCCGTCTCCTCTCCCGGCGGACACGGTCAGGTGGCTCAGCGGCTTCCGGGTCTGCGGTGTAGAGGATGGACGAGCTGATGTAATCCAGGTCGAGCGAACTAAAGGAGAAATCCCTGCAGTTGTTTCTGATGTCCAGTAATGTTTTCCGGTCGTAGGAGAAGTAAGCTTCAGTGTTTTGAGTAAATAACGTGACAAAAAATGTAAGAATAACGAACAAAAAGCACCATTGTTTGAGAGCTAATGAAGCCGCTGCGTCCATGTGCGCCGCCATCTTACAAAGATGTACTTGGACACTTGGACACTTGGACACACTGGCCGTTACGTGATTGTCTGAGCTGAGTCCGAGAAGTTCTGGAGGGGCACGGAGGAGCCCTGTGCTGCCTGTTTTACCTGGAAAAACTATGATTGTTCATTGGTTGACAGTTCCGTGGGCATTCGAGACCCACGTGGGGTTACCCTGCCCTACCAGTTCCTGATTGGCTGATTGAGGTGGAAGATGAGTAACAATGTACTCTGACCTTAGGGTTGTAAACCACCTGGGATGAGACTCTCCCTTGGAATCTCCCAGAGAGTAAGGCACCAGATATTACCATTTATTAAGGTAGCTGGAGAATCTCAGCCTTGGGAGTTGTTCCTTATCAGGAAACTCTATCAGCTAGAAAAACACCTTGGAATGGCCTCTCTGTATCCAGCACCACTGAAATGAGAGACAGAGAGACAAAGGAGCACCAATTTTATTCCTGTATTTTTAATAAGCCTTGCCGCTACATGTGTATGTGTAAATCCGGTAGTTGGTTATTTTGGTTGTAAAGGAGAATAAAAGCTGGTGGTTGTTTTCCTACTTCGTCTCCACTTGTCCTTTGTTCTGCACAAACCCGTAAGTGCTACAATACTTACTATAGGGGTGTGAATAAATATGACCCTAATGTTTTTTGAATTATTTATGACAAACAAGACTTTTCTTTTCCAAATGATTGGGGGTTCAAGAAATGTAAATGTAAAAGAAATGTTGTGAGGTTCATGTGACTTAAAATGGGGCTTGTGAGTGAAACTAGAATAAACTCCCCAAAACAACATGTTCCCTCTACAAGGTCACCCTCACTCCTCTAACTCCTCTGCTTCTACCCAGAAGATTCCAAATGCTGTTGCCTAGCAACATATATAGTGGCTAGCTACTGTATCTCCCAGAACATCATGAGAAGTCTCAAAGACCCATATCCCCCTCATAAACCTATCTTTCACTCAGAACCTTTCTTTCTCACAGCCTCACAAAGTTTTAGACACAATGAAACTGGCAATGAAGATAAAATTCATGGCTCTCCAGCTGGAAGTCCAGAGGGCTAACTATTGCTTTACACTTTCCCAAGATGTATCTTTTGTTTTGTTGAGTGTTTCATATCACTGCTCTGTTCATTCTCTCTACCAGACTGAGATAAAGGCCCGTGTGCAGCTGGAAAAGAGGCTGAACATTGCTGAGGAGGCTCTACGGAGCCTGGAACAGGGTCTCAACTCTATGGAAAGATCCAGGGAGAAGGAAGAGCGCATGAAGGGAGATGTCGGCCAATTAAAAAGTGAGAATGGCGGGGACTAGGGAGGGTATTTAGGGTTTAAACTTCCTTTTTTACCCGAAATGATAACCCGAACAAAACAAGGAGCTATATCTCAATTATTAAAGCAGCACAAATGCTACTTTCAATGGCACAAACGCAGCACTAACAAATGTGGTGGGTTTCAGTGATAGTGCTGTCTGCTGGGGTTGACATCTCAGAGCTGGACAAGCAAACATCCTAGGTCATTACATCGCATGCTGCAAAAGACATGATTTCAGTTTGGAGAAATATGACGTCTTAACAGAGGCACTCATATGTTTATTTTCAGACCTAATGCTGTATTCTATACCAAATATTGACCAGAAACACAAAAATAAAAAGACTGTGACCTAATCGTGCTATTTTTTAATGTAAGAACACTCCAATAGCTCCGTGGTCTGCATGTGTGAGACAGTAGAATTTCCAATGTTGTTTTGCAGTTTAGTTAAGAACTGCCTGGTTCAAGTACATAGTGCCCCTTTAATAAATCCCCTTTCACATTTACAATTTTTTGCACAAAAATATATAAAAACTGTGGTAATACAGGATGTTGCTAATCCTAACCTTTTTAAATAAGCAGTTCGAAAGATGGGTCAAATCATTAAATGACCCTTGATTTGCATATGAATTTAAAAAGCACACAGTGAGAAACTGATTACTTCTTCAGATTTAAAAATAAGGTCACAGCTATGGAGTATTAACACATGCTAGTTAAAGCCTCTTTGTAAGAACATGCATTTGCTTGTTTGCTTTTTAAGGTTACACCCACAACTCATCTGATTAGTATATGATATTGGTGAGAAATTCAATTTTCCTTTTCACACAAACAGGAAAATTACACAAACGCACAGAAGATTCTGGTATTAAAAGCAAAATAAATTGCTGCCCCCCACCTGGGAAAACAGAGTAACACAATTCCAGACATAGTTATCTTCGCACCTGTAATTGAGTGCTTGAACTCAAAAGAGGGGCTACTGATGGTCAAAGTTGCTATACATGGTCACATGATCACCTGAAAAAGAAGACGCTATATCTAGGGAATGAAAGCAGCTGGGAAGCTACTTTCAATGGCACGTACGGGCACAAATGCAACACTAATGAATGAGACCAGTTCGTTTCTCCTACAATGTTGTAAGGGGGCTGGGTATGGTCACTCCCCAAAAAAGTTGGCACTATATCTCAGAAACGGAGCTGAAAGATATACGTGTGTAATTACTATTTTTAAACAATTATTTCCAAGGATAAATATATGCTACTCTACCTGTAAAGAGATACAGTGCCTTGCAAAAGTCTACACCCCCCTTGGTCTTTTTCGCATTTTATTGTGTTACAGCATGGAACCATGATGTACAGTATTAAATTGAGAATGTTTGCCTCTTATCAACACAATGTACTCTATAACATCGAAGTGAAAAAAAAACCCCGAACATTTTACTAATGTCTTGCTTTGACAGACCTAAATTACCTCTGAAGTAACCAACTCTCTTCTCCAAGCCACATAATTATGTGACTAGAGTCTACCTGTGTGCAGCTGAGGTGTTTCACATGATTTCAGAATAAATACACCTGTGTCTGGGACCTTCCCCACTTAGTTAGTGTATTTACAAGGAAACACTACACCATAAAGACCAAGGAACATTCCAAGCAGATCTGAGACAAGGTTCTTGAAAAATACCACTCAGGGCAAGGATATACGGAAATTTCCAAGGCATTGAATATACGTTGAAGTACAGTGAAGTAAGAAAGGTGTTGCAAGGGACTGTTGCAACTACCGTAATATAGCCCTGATTCCTCATGCGAGCAAAGTTCTTCTGAAGATCGTACAGCAGCGACTGCACCCAATCATTGAAGCAGAACTACCTGACTCGCAAGCTGGTTTCAAACGAGGTCGTGGTACCCCTGACCATATCACAAATCTGCTGTGGATTATGGAGAAATGTGATGAACATTAGAAAAACATCTACATTTGCTTCATCAACTACAGTAAGGCATTCGACTGCATCGAACACGATAAGCTATGGAAGGCCTTGCAAGAACTGGGAGTGCCAGCACACTTGATCCAACTGATAAGATCCTTTTTTAAAGACCGAGAAGCAACTGTTCGAACACAACATGGAGACACCAAGTGGTTCAAAATCGAGAAAGGTGTGCGACAAGGCTGTATTCTGTCCCCTTTTCTTTTCAATCTTTACGCAGAAATTATCATGAGGAAATCAGATCTGGAAGAATTGGAAATCGGTGTGAAGATTGGAGGCAGAAATATTGATAATCTCCGCTATGCTGATGATACAACATTACTGGCGGAAACGGAAGATGGCCTGAAATATCTCATATTAAGAATCAAAAAGGAAAGTGAAAAGATGGGTCTCCACTTCAACATCAAATAGACAAAGATCATGACAACAGCTGGAAATGGAGCAGTCAAAATAACCATCAATAGTGAAGAGATTGAATGGCAATGATGCTTGGAATGGTCAGTGGAACAAGAAGATGAGGCTGCCAAAGAACGCGGTGGCTCGATCCCATCAAAACGGACACTGGCTTAGGTATAGAACAGCTGAAAGGGAAAGTCCAAGACCGGAAAGCGTGGCGAGAGATAGCCTATAGAATCGCCGAGAGTTGGATCCGACTGACCGGATAACATCATCATCACACAGTGAAGTCCATCATTAAAAAGGTATGGAAAAACTGTGAATCTGCCCAGAACAGGCAGTCCTCCAAAACTGAGTATTAACTCTGGGGGGTGAATACTTATGCATTCATATATTTTTTTGTTTTTTTATTTTTAATTAATTGAGTAAAATGTCTGGATTCTTTTCCACTTTTATGTTATATAGTACTTTGTGTTGATGAGTAGCAAAAATTCTCAGTTAAATACATCATAGCTCCATGCTGTAACACAATAAAATGTGAAAAGTACAAGGGAGGTGAATACTTTTGCAAGGCACTGTACTTGGACTTTGTACTGTGAAATACCAGGATTGTTCAACAAAAATGATCAGGTGATCAATAAACTTATGGCTCACAAGTGCAAGGCATGACAGAGTACTTAAGCATGGGTAGAGATTAAAAGACATTGTGACATGACAAACAGGTGGTGAAAACAGATAAGGAAATTTAAATTCAACATCTTACATCGAAAAATTATATTTGTGGTCTCTTTACTGCCACAATGACTTTTTTATATACAGTGTTCCTAAAGAAGGGGGGCTGGCCGAGGAAAAGGAAACATTCAATGGCTATAGGAAGGACCATTTTGCAAATCTATTAAATTACAAATACATAGTCAACAACAATATATTCAATTCCATCTGACAATACTCTATTATACCGTAGATGAGCTTAGAACTCTTTTCAACACTTAAGGAGTTGAGGAAAGCCATCACACAAATGAAGAACAACAAAGCATCTCTTTACCAGCAGCCATATCACCCTGAAACTCACAACTGGCAACCCACTGAAGCTAAGCAGGTGTGAGCCTGGTCAGTACCTGGATGGGAGACCTCCTAGGAAAAACTAAGGTTGCTGCTGGAAGAGGTGTTAGTGGGGCCAGCAGGGGGCGCTCACCCTGCGGCCCATGTGGGTCCTAATGCCCCAGTATAGTGATGGGGACACTATACTGTAAACAGGCCTGTCCTTCGGATGAGATGTAAAACCGAGGTCCTGATTCTCTGTGGTCATTAAAAATCCCAGGGCGCTGCTGTTGCATCATCCAGGTGGATGCTGCACATTGGTGGTGGTGGAGGGGAGTCCCCATTACCTGTAAAGCTCTTTGAGTGGAGTGTCCAGAAAAGTGCTATATAAGTGTAAGCAATTATTATTATTAATCTGCTGCCCATTGTAGGTATGATCATTAGAAGAACTTTCCTGCACCTCTCATTCTTCTTGCTGAATAACTTCACCCAGAAATCCAGTGTGTGTTTTTACATACCATCAATTACAACAAAAATGTCAAGAGCAACTACATTTCTTCTTAGCATTCTTTGATTTGACAAAGATATTTGTCTCTGTGAATTGTATGGCACTCTGGAAGTATAGAGTCCTGCACTTTGAGACTCAAAGATGTCAAAATGAGGATAAAGAGTGTCAAAGAGAGGTCACCATGACAACTATGCTGTACTGTACAAGATATCTAATGAAACAACAACTGCTAAACAAAGTGCAAATCCCATATTGGTTTTGTCAATCATCTTTAAAATCACAGAAGATGGTCACCCATGACAGCCAAGTGTAGCCAGTGAATGAATATGATATGCGTTTTAAAGTAAAAAATGTGTTAAGAGGTATAAGACAGTTTCTAACTTAATACATGCTTCTAGCTACCCTTCTTCAAAAATCCTCATAGTATGTCTTGTAGTTGGTATTACAAAATATTCATTATGCTTAAGCCATTGAAACAGACTGCTTATTTTTAAAAATAAGATACCGTTATGCGCTTGTTGTATCAAAGTTTTAATGATCTTTGTTTTCCTGGAAAAATGTGAACCATTCAGAAAACCTCAAATAATGGTTGTAATTGGAGATGTTTCCCAAGCAGCTGATGGGCTAAGAGGCAGATAAACACAAATTATCAAGTGAGTTTATTTTAGTTAATTAACTTCATTAGGACCTTAATAGAGCCTGAACATTTATCCATAGTCACAATATAAATAATGAGGAAAGAAAGACAAGAGAAGGAAAGGAAGACAGCAAGAAAGAGAAACAGGAGAAGATACAGAGAGAAGAAGGAAAATCACCATCACCCTCCTGTTCTTCAAAGCTTATGCCAGGCAAAAGGCCTTTGTTCTGATTCGTTTTTGAGACCAGATTCTGGCTATGTGATATGAACATTATCATAGAGAACTAAACTATCAAATTCAAAATATTCTTCTTTTTCTGGAATAGGAAGATTGTTCACTGTAATGCTGAGGCCGGTTACAGCCACACAGGTGGTGATTAGTCAGAACCCAAGCGCAAGAGACCGGAGGGTGAGAGAACACCCCAAAAGACCCGACTGATTAAGGGTTTGAGTGCTCTGGAATGGAGGGAAAGTGAAACTGAACCAGAAATGGAAACAGTGATAATAGAACTAAATCTGCCCAGACCGGTCAGTAATGGAAAATCAAAACTGAAAATGAAAACAGAACTGACAGGCAAAGCAAGAATTGCCCAAGCTGGTCACCAAGAAAAGAAAATAAGTGAGGTGCGATGGTCTTGGAGAATACTCATAACAGCCCACCAGACGGAATGTGGGACCCTCAGCCCTGGGACACAGACGCCCAGTGAGTCCCTAGAAGGAAGAGTGCCACACGGATCTGGGAGACAGTCCACTAAGTAGCCAGAGATGGCATCACCTCAGAGGAAAGCTGTGCTTTGGCCCGTAGGCTTAACAGAAAGGGTGAGGGTGACTTTGGAGTCTCATCAAACTGGGGATGAAGGAAACCCCCACACAGTGGTCTAGTCAGAGGCCCAGGAGCTCATGATTCAAGGTGCTTGCCCTTGTGGGGGGTCTACTCCGAGACCAGGTCAAGTGTGTACTGTCAGCTTGGTGTTCCAGGTTCAACTCTCTGATGGAGGTGCCCGGATGCGAATGGAATTGGATGCTCAGGTGCCCTCTGGACCAACTGCGGGAGACATTTGCAATGTACAGGAGGCAATAGACACATCCTCAGTCCCCTTTCAATTCTCAGAGCCTTCTGAAGTGCAATCCTGGATTCAAGTCAGATTAAACTGCTTCAGCACCGAGAAGCAAGGGTGGTCAGTGTCAGTCCCGGAGATCTGAACCCTGGTGAATCAGCCCAATGACAGGAATTGGGCAGCCTTGCCTTCAGAATGGAATCCTATGCCAAACTCCCAGAAAAAGGAGGACACTAAGGTATCTTGGTCTTAGCAAGCCCTGAGGGATAACAGCTATTTGACTTGTTGAGAACCAAGAAAAGGGTTGCAAAAGGTCTTAGCATGCCAGGCTGAGGCATCTGCTTGATGAACAGGAGGTCAGGTTGCAGCAGTGCAGACAAGACAGAGTAAAAGGAACAATGAAGAAGTGCCACTGAAGCAGTGCTTCGGCATTAAATACAGAAAACAGGAATTGAATATAAATATTGGGTCATTGTTAATTGAGGCAGATCACAAGTAGGAGATCGGGTTTGTGCAGCAAGACCTGGAAAACTGCAAGCCCTTGTGATAATGTGACAGTTTCCCAGGGCAACCAACAATTGGGAGATGCTGCAATAAGGAGGTCATGACAGTATCCATTTACTAGGATGCAGTTTTTTTTTGGCGTCTTTAGTTATTGTACAGTGCTGTCAGATTACAGGGATAGGTTTTCGGTGTCTACAGTGTACAGGCCTATTGTGTGTGGATTATTTTGTTTTTTGTTAGTTAATACTTTGATTCTCTGGTTAAGTTTTGAATCTGATGTATTACTTTATTACTAGTATGTGCCGGAGAATAAACAGAACCTCAAATTTTCCCTAATGTTCAGGTTAATTTCTCACTCTGCTAGTTTATAACAATACTTTAGCAGAGATTGAAGGAGACAGTCACTGCCTGAGGAAGAACATGTTTACTGTACCCTTATACAAAATAATTTCTTTGAGTGTTATGGTTGTATTGTTTTTTGTTTTCAAGACATGTTCCCATTTATAAGAAACTTCCATGACCAAACTAGTGGTGAGGAGTGGTTTCCCTCTCGTGATCATCTCTTTTCAGATATTACCTTTATTCAAGTTCCCAAAAGATAAATCCACAAAGGTTGACATGAGACATGAGTGTAATATATGTTCTTAAGTATAACCATATTGTTGTGGGAATCCTTCATCAAAGGAGCAGGACACAGTCTTGCGTGGATTCAGTTATTTTATTGAGCTCAATAATGACATCAACGCGCGTTGGGTCTGCCCCGCAGAACAGACAAACTGCAAGGGTTTCCCAGCTCTTATATACAGCATGATCTCAGGAAGAAGTTTTGTTTCACCGCTTCATGGGTATTCGTCCCGCCCTTTGATATGTAGCATCTGTCTCCAGTGTGTCCTGTCCCAAATCCTGTCCTTTGATGTGTAGCTATCCTTTGATATGTAGCATGAGTTGACCTGCTAAGTCCTGTCCCAAGTCCTGTCCTTTGATGTGTAGCTGTCCTTTGATTTGTAGTGTAATTGTTGGAGCAGCTTAAGATATGTTAAGACAGCCGACATATTATACAATGTGTTTGAATTAATACTGTAGTGTTGAGTACAGATAAATTATATAAATATATTTTCCATCAATAATATATATAAGTGTTGTATGTTCTACTTCAGTATCATTGCATATTTTGTTACCAGAATGTATTTGAGATATGAGGTACAGTAGGTGGCATTCTTTAGTTATGAGTTTTGGGTGATTGTTATTTTAATTTGGGGAGATATTTTTCAGATATTACTGTTAATTTTATGTTGGACAACTAGGAAACTATTGGTAGGTCAAAATATTGGTAAATTAGGCATGTTTTTTTTAGCTAATATATACAGAAACCAAAACGTCTTGATTTCCATTAAAACATTAATTATTAGCTCTTACTAATGTTATCAGTTTTACTAATCATTGTTACTGTTGAAAGTGTGGCCAATTCATTGTATTTGCTGTGCTTGAATTAATGCTTAGTTCAGTAAAAAAAAGCAGTGATGCAGTTAAGTAGTATTGATGTAACAATTTCCATTGTTCAGCTGTCTTTTTTGAAAGAAATGAAAAAATAATAATCATCAGGGAGTTTCCTGACAAAATAACAAAAATGCAAATATTTTAGTTCAGCAATACTGTTCACTGTATCTGCACTGAGAATTCCACTGCTTTTCTGTGACTGTAATCATTATTAAAAAGTTATTTTAAAGATATCTTTGAAAGACCTTATAGAATTTTTCTTACCTTTAGTATTTTTAATGCTATTTCACTGTGAATGTTTTATATCAAAGGTACTTATTTTAAGTATATTTGTTTATTTTACAGAGTTTTTTGAAGAATGTATCAGAAATGCAGAAATTGACGCCAAGCTGCCAGCTATAATGGAGAATTCTGTCTACATACACAAGGCCACAGCTCGCAGGATAAAAAGCTGCAGGATTCAGAAGAAGGAATCTTACAACAACTGGGGACTTAGTAAGTCAGAATCTGGGTAGTGTTTTTGAAGCCCAGCAATCAATCATAGACTAAATGTCTACCAGTGACTCAGTATACAGATATCACCATATCACTATATGCTGTACTCCAATCAGTAACTTAATAATTACCCACTGGTTCTATTACTGAACTCATTAGATCAAATTCACTAACCTTAATTTCACTCATTGCCTCTCTATCCCTTTTAATACCAATTATTTGCTCTTCTATCACAGGATGCTACTTCAGTTACAACAATGAGCAATGAAGTAAATGTTTTGGAGAGGATAAGGTAGACAAATACAGTAATTGATACTTAGGACAGTTAAAGAAAACTTCCATTTCTATTTCAGTACTTCAGTGTCAGAGACAGATTGACTTCATTTCACGTCCTGCTATGCAGTTTAATGTTGTTAGGGTAACCACATGGAGAAGTATACTCCATGGGAGGACCAGACAAGAATAATAATTCACAAAAATAAATCTTGTATTACTGTCATTGACAACAGAAGTACACCACTTTTTCATCACACTGGGATATATCAACCAATTTGCTCCACCTTTATATCAAAAACTACAATTGTACATAAATGTAACTCCTGTAGCTGTTGAACATTTTAAGAACAAACAAAATAAAGTTTAAGATTACATTTATTCCTTGCCCACTGTATATACCACACCCCAATTTGTAAGCAAACATTGCAGGTGCTCAATCTGAACAGATGTGGTCTTTTAGAAATACCCATGTTTCTTTACATTGAAAGCATTTAGAAATGCTCTCAAAACTGCATAAGTACCCCTTTCTGAAATTTCTGGGGACTTGCACTCATTTTTGGGAAAATATCAATCTTATTTTAAGACTATGTGAATCTCTAGCATTTTTCATTTTGAGCATCACACCCTGTGACTGCTCTCATGTTCTTCTTCTGTTGTTCTCCACAGAGAGACATTCACAATCCTTCATCGTATCTCCCACTGAGGAGACAAATCTGGAGGATCTCTGGGAAACTGCAAGGAGGTTGACCTGTGACAGATATTTCAGGGAAAGTAACTACAAAATCATGACTCACAAAGACACTTTAAAGGGGGAGGACAGAGAGTGAAAAGACATCTGCATGGTGTTCTTTTAAAGTTCTTCATGAAGGGTGCCTATGTTAGTGGCCTAACCACAGAAACCACTTCAGATATGTTGCACTTAGAATGCATTTATCTGTATATCCCCATATTTATAATAATTATTTCAGTGAAGTCTAACTCATTTATTTTGTTCACCAATTTGTATTGGAATGAACACAAGATGAGGTTTCATTTTAAGAATATGTTTTTCTTCATGTCTGCAGTGATAATATTCAATACATGTGTAAAGTAAATGAAATTTTAATTTTATTCAGTATCTACTGTATTAAATGTTACCTATTCAGGTTTACACCTTATATAGCAATCATTTCATTTTTAACTTCACTTTATCCAGTTTCATGTGAAATTTCTCTTTGAGTATCAGAGCATGGTAATTCTTTGCCTTTATTCTTCATTTTAACCTGACAAATTGGGTCCATTGTGTTGTAACAGTCAAATAAGTTGTGGATCCCGAGATTAAGTTTAAACAGATGGGTTTTATTGCATGCAAGGAACAAGTATTGTTCGAAATACAGGTACAAAACTTCCAGTTTATATAGCACTTTTCTGTTGCTTCTGGGAGGTCATGGTGTCCGGACAGTTCTCAGACTTTGACCACTCTTAATGGTCAGTTTTACAAATACAGCTTAGGTCTCGTTTGTATAGCATCCAGGGTATAACTGTCACATTCACATTTCTCATAAACCTGTTATTACACACAAAATATGAGGACTGCAGTCCAAAGTTATTGGCAAAGTAAATAAAGATGGTGGCAAATTAAAGATGACGCCAGTGAGAGGTGGTATGTTGCGTGCAGCTCCTCACAGATTGTACTTCATGTCGTGTTATGTGGAATTATTGTTAATTTTATATGTTCAAACTATTCCTGAAGTAGTCTTGTACGACTGACATACTGTTTTGGACATTAGATCAAGAGTTACAAATATACATTTGAATATTTTAGACCTAGAATAGCTATCTGGACTACCTTCCTTTGTGTACCTCCCACCCGGTTCACCTGACTCTTCAAGACAAAAACACCAAACAACATGGAACATAGAAGGGTGGCAGACATGGAAGCCTCCAAAAAAGACTGAAACACATAGGCTTTCAACTTTCACAGAAACAGTATTCTTCTGGCGAATGTCCATTGCTAGAAAACAAACTAGACAAACTCAAAGTGAGGTTGATTTATCAATGGGAGATAAGGGACAGTTGTGTACTTTTTTCTCACAGAAACATGGTTCACCCCAAACTCACTTAATTCTGCCATCCACCCCAACAATTTTTCCAGTTTGCACTCAAACATTCACACAATGAACTATACATTGTAATTAACAAACATGAAACTGCAAACCTTGTTGCTATATTCATTTAATCCAGGGATTTCAATCAGACCAACTTTAAGAAAATGCATCCAAAATACTACCAGCATCTCCTGCCCCGCTAGATGTGCTAACACTTTTGACAATTGCTATACTACCATCACAGATGCATATCGCTCTTTTCCTCATCCACATTTCAATCAAATCATTTGTCTGTGCTTCTACTTCCTGTTCACAAGCAGAAACAGAAGCGCGAGAACCCAGTAGTGAGAATGATACAATACTTGTCCAAGGAGACAAAACGAACAATAAAGAAGACTGCTTTGAGTCTGTGGACTGGACCATGTTCAAAGACACATAATCCAACCCGAATGAGTACGCAACAGACTTTATTAAGAAATATGTGAATGTCTTTGTCATAAATAATCTGGGTTTTTCTCAACCAGAAACCATGGGTTAACTGTGAATTTCATTTCATGCTAAGGACCTATTCCATGCTGAGATCACCTGAAGAAGGCTCCACGGCCGAAACGTGTTTTCTTTCTTCTTTTTTTCAGCATGGAATAAAGCTATTACTTTTTAATTTTCTTAGGTATTGGAATAATGGTGGTCCTCATAAAGCAGATAGGAACAGCAGACTGTTGTAGTGAGAGATTAAGTATTTCTGTAAAGACTTCAGCCTTTAGGTCTGCATAGGTTTTGTAAACACGGCCAGGTATTCCAAGTGATTATGATTCACATAACACTAGGCTTCACGGCTGAAATGTTGTGTTTTCTTTCTTCTTTTTTGATTATGATTCACATAACACTATACAATAGTTCAGGTGGGTAGCTGGGTCAGCATGCGTAGGCTGCAAAGGAACAAGTAATAGGTTTATTCCATGCTGATAAAAAGGGAGAAAGAAAACACAACGTTTCGGCCGTGAAGCCTCTTGTGAAGCCTCACACCTGAAGAAGGCTTCAGAGCTGAAACGTTGTTTTCTTTCTTCCTTTTTTCAGCATGGAATAAACCTATTACTTGTTCCTATTTATACAATATACATATGTGCATATTCCTACATTTACAACTAATCATATTGCTGATTGATGAAGAACAGACCTCCCTCTTACCCCTTTGGGACTGGGTAGTATTTAATTAGAGGACTTGTAGCATTTATACATTATTTCAGATAGAGTATCTGTTAGGGAGAGTCTTTGTTGAGGATCAAGTCAGTATTGGCTTCGAAATTTAGCTTGGGGTCCAGAACAGTCCCCACGTACGTCTACTGTTCTACTAGCTCCGGTGAATCTCTCCCAAAGCAGGAGTGTGGGTTTTTTTTTCTGAAATCAATTATCCTGTTTTTGGTCTTGGACACTGAAGTGGTACATCATATTATCCATACCCTGTCCTGCAATAAAACCACTCAACCCTATTGTAGGGGTCATTAGAGTAATTGCTGAGCGCTGTTAACTCAGATTGTATCACAATATTCGTTAGAGCAAAGCGACTGGTACCAACAACTGCAATAACAAAGGGAAAAGCCTAAAAGTGTCAAGTATTGTAGTACCTTTGTTTCCTGTCTGTAATGTATACAATAGTTGGGGAACCCCTTGCAGTTTGTCTGTTCTGCGGGGCAGACCCAACGTGCACTGCTGTACTTTTTGAGACTCAATAAAACAACTGAATCTGCACAAGACTGTGTCCTGCTCTTTGGAAGAAGCATTTTCCCACAACAACACATTTAGCTTGAGGAAGTTTTGTTCAAACCAGGTGGCAAACTCATCAACGATGGGTCCATGGCTCCACTCTTTTGCTCGCAGCAGGCTATCAATGACAGAGTCATCTACACATTTGATTATGTGTCTTGAGTGGCAATAGCTCTTTTACCTCTTTTCAGGGCTGTTTTATAGGTCAGAATGCATAGCATTGTGGTCAGATAATCCCAGTGGTGCTTTAATTGCAGATTTGTAAGCTTTCTTAAGTATTAGTAACACAGGTACAATAACTTATTATGCCTTGTAGGGCAGGTAACATATTGATGAAAATTGGTATCTTCTGCATGGAACAGTGGTTGAAATCTCCCATTATGAAATTATGAGCGTCGGGGAAGTTGCTTTGAACAGTCTATGCATTTCACAATGCTGTCCCAATTGCATTGGGTTTTAGATGAATACAGACCACAACCAACCATAAACTGCAATTTCTGCAATTTCCCTCACGGGATCAATAAAGTATCTATCTAAACAACCTGAAAGTAATATCATGCAGCCTGTAGGTGCTGCAGTGTATTTCCAATTCAGATTATCAGTTGTACAGGTTATTATTATGCCCATTCCACCTGCAATGCAAACAAAACCTATCATCAAGCATTACAATAAGATCCAAAATGATGTAACTAAGCAACACATGGACAGGGCTATAAAGGCTGCTCAGAATACATTTGATAGCTCACAGCTAAAACAACAAAAAAATAGCTCTTAATTTCGGCAAAGCATTTTTTTCTCTTTTACCTTTTTAATCTTTTTATTGAGTGAGTGATATCAATAATACACAGTCAACAAAAAAAAAAAAGTGGATCTAAACATGTTCTCTGCCAGACTGCCTATGTGGAGACACTCAGGCTATTGCATCTATTTAATCCAGCTTCATCCTCCATGCTTATCACCATGGCAATTATAACATCTGTGAATGAAATCAGTTTTTTTTTAATCTCTGAGACTGAACTGGCTTTAAACTAAGAGCACTCTGCCTTTTGATACCACTTGGTCAAGTATTGCAAATATATTCACAGCTTTAGAATTTTTTTCAGCTATAATTCTGTCTGGAGTAGCGCAGTAGTCCATTATTCCTTCATCCTGAATAGTAGAATAGTAATCATCATTTCTATTTGTGAAGTAGGCAGACAACATATCAGTTTTTCTTTGATAAACAGTATTTTTATGTAAGGCTATTTACATGAAGTGAAACACTTTGTAGGCTTTTGCCTAAACCAAATAATAATATGATAAAATGAGAACAGAATGGCTTAGGTTTATCTGCAAAATTATTCACTTTTTATGATACTACTATTTGAACAGGTCAATGGCTTTATAAGCTCCCATTAATTTCAGGAAAGGGTGAGTACTATGGCTGCCGTCGCATCATCCAGGTGGATGATGCATATTGGTGGTGGTGGAAGGGAGTCCCCATTACCTGTAAAGCGCTTTGAGAGGACTGTCCAGAAAAAGCGTTATATAAGTGTAAGCAATTATTATTATTATTATTATTACTGATGTGTGGGTTAAGGGTGTGAGTAGTGATGTGTGAACACACCCAAGAGTTAGGTGGATCGATTCAGAATATTAACTGTATCAGTATCAGTGAGTAGTATCAGTGAGTACATGTAAATAGCAGAAAACTACACTGAAACCCAGATTTACACAAGGGCTTTATTTTTTAACAGTATTTTCCTACATGTGCTGGCAGGAGGTACCTTGTGCACAGGTCTGTGGCAGGGGAAAGATAGGAGAGGGTGCAGGGAGTTATTCTAGAGCTCATCAATAGCAGTCCGTGTCCATGTGGGAGTTTGCATCTTCTGTGAGCTTCAACATAGAACATTAGAGAAGAACACAAATAAATTATTCTTGATCAGAGATTTAATAACAGGAAACTAGGCGACTCAGACATCATTTTTCATTAATGCACTGGCAACACATTCATAAATATAACTTTTTAATAAATTATCAATATCATTGTAGAACTATAGATTATGCTGTGTGTTATTCACAAATTGTTTGTCATTTAGTTTCACCTGTTTCACCAGATTTCCTCTGAAATTTTCAATCAAACTGAACAACCAAATTAAAATAAAAAGAGGCAGAAGGAATATACAGTGAATGTGTGCGCAGTTCAGGCTTGAGGCTAGATCATCTGAGCTCAGTGGCTTCCTTCCCTTCACCACAGCATGAAGCTGGTTTTCACATAGCAAGAATCAAAAAACTATTTAAACTGTTCAAATAAGAATATGTGCCAAGGAAAATGGGTGACAATGCAGAAACTCTTTTGAAACAAGGCGTGCATGTTCTGTCTATATACGTGTCAACCTGATACAAAGAACTATTTAAACATGAAGAATGAGAACAATGCTGTGATACTGCTTCAGTGCTTAAGAACTTTGCAGTGAAACACCTGTTCTCTTTGCTTACAGTTACACTGGAACATGAGGATTTTTTTTTCAATTTTCAAGTTAGAAGATGTTTTGCACAAAGCACACTAGTAAACTACTGTAACAAACCACACATCTGAGATCAGTGTAGAGTGCTGAAAAAGACTTGTGCATTCTTCTTCACAGCAACAAGTGTAGAAGTAGTCACTAATTTCTAAGCAGCACAATCAGCTTTATGGCAGGCACTTAGTAAAAGGGAAGAAGCTTCAGACATCTTATGGTAAATATCCCACTGCGGATGTTAACTTTGCTAGACCTTGACACGTCAGATGTACTTTCTTTAAGGAAGCATAGAATAAGAGACATGTGGAAAATGTAAAGAATATTACTTCATTATTTTCATAACAGTTGGTTTGGTAGCTAACTTTGTTTTCTAGTGTGGTGAGGTGATATTCCTTAAATATCTGGACCACTGTCTTCAAAATAAATATGAAAGCAAGAGCTTATGGAGAAAATATGAGCTGATACTGTAAGGTAATCTTACTGTAAAGTCTTGTTTCAAAAGTGCTTTAAATGCAGGTATGAATGGTTTGAAATATTAATCAAAGACTTTTAAGCATAAAGTCACAGTGGAAATACATGACACCAAGTTTAAAACATTAAACAAATAAGAATTAAAATACCTTCTTTAAATTGTTCAAATCTTATTAAATGTGTTACTTGTGCTTCCAATATAAATGGGACAAGACTGATTACTGATATAATACATTTAAAAAAATCTTTCACATTTCCCAGGGTGAAGGTGACAGGTAAAAAAAGCTATGCCCTTAAGTGAAAAACTATTTTGGAGAAGTGGTCACTGCTAAATATACAGTAAATATTCTTAGTGAGACTCACATTAGGCCTATTCTGAGCCGATTAGAGTTTTGTCTGCAGAGAATGTGAATACCTAGGACAGTCCAGCATAAAGAGGTTATTTTTCATTCAGGCTGGCTTTGAGTTTGGCCTCCAGGGCCATTTTGTCAAAGGTGCGCATGTTGGTTTCCTCCCGTACACGGTCTCGCACATGAAAAGAAGCCCTGGCAACAGAACGGGCACTCTCCAGCACCGCTCTCTTTTCACGAAATATCTGCTCACTCTTCTCCAGTTTTTTCTCAATGGACAGTAGGAGTTCCTGTCGGCGATGCTGCTCCAACTCCTCCACTCGCTGCCGGTTCATCCTCTGAATCTTTTCTTTTTCTAACCGACTCTGCACGGCCTTGAAGGCCCTCTCCTTGGCTCTCTCTTCAGCCACCTGTGTTGCCTGCTGGGCCCTGCGTTCCGCCTCCCGTGCCAGGGCCTCTATGTGTTCCTTCTGTTGTTGCTCCTTCCTCTCTACCACCTGTCGAGCTTTTTGAATCTGCTGTTCTTCCTTCCTGGCTTTCCCTTTCAGCTTCTGATGGCGTCGTTCTTGGATCTGTTCATAATTCTCTATGGACCGGCTCAGCCTCAACTCCATGGATTTCCTGGCCATCTCCCTTTCCTCCACCTCTCTGCCGGCAATTTCCTTGATCAGAGCACCATGCCTCATCTTCTCTGCCCTGTTAAGGCCTCGTCGTTCCTTCTGGAACTGATGCTCCCTCTCTTGCTTCTTTAGCTCAGCCATGGTGAGCTTCTCCTGCAGCAGCAGTTGTTCCTGCTCCAGCATGGCTTGACGTTCTTCTTCCAAGGCTTTGAGGTTTTGTTCCTGGAGGCACTTCTTCTGTTTCTGCTCCTGAGCAGCCTGGCGCAGCTTTTCTTGCCTGGAGTGTTCCTGCATTTCTGCCAGTTCTTTCCACCTCTCTTCACTTTCTGCTACATGCAGCATCTTCTGGATGGTGGCCTGTTGCTGCTCCTGACTAAGGCGGCGCTGCCGCATGGCCACCTGGGCGTGCCACATTCTCTGACACTGCAGCACAGCCCTCTGTTTCTCCCACTCCTCCCGCTCCCGACGCATCTCCTCTAGCCTCCGCTCACTGTCCCACTGGAGGTGCGCCACATAACGGGTCCGGCTAATGATGTCCTCCTCTTGATGCTTGGCCAACATCAAAGCAGCGATCTTGCGGTCCCGCTCAGGTACCTCCTTCAATCCCCGTCTTTTCACCTCCTTCACTATCTTGTCCACTTTCTTAGTTGTCTGCGGCGAGTGGCTAAGATCCCCTAGGCTCAGGCTGCGGCCCATCAATGAGTTCAGGGTGGCCACAGTCCGTGCTCTGGGGCTGGACAACTTTAGCCATTTATCCTTCTCCTGTGGGGTGTCCCAGCTGAATGAGGAAGCCCCTGATTCTGAGGAGGTGCGAGTGGTGGTCGATGAGCATGTGTCCCGCTTCTTCTGCAGTGACTCTAGCGAATGGCATTTTCCTTTACCCTTGGGCTTAGCTACATGTCCATTAGCCAGAGAAACAGGAGCTTCCAATGTACCATTAGCAGATGCTGTTACACCAGCTACTGCAGAGCTGGAAACAACTTTAGTTACTGTAGGCAGAGCTTTTTTGACAGGGCAAACTTTCGGAATAGAGAAAGGACCTGCAACATCAGATTTTATTGCAGGGCTTTGGCTTTTGATGGCAGCTTTTCGGACACAGCTAGGCCCTGCACTGGCAGCTAAGGGTCTTCCCACAGGAGACAATGGCAGACTGCTTGTAACAGAATTCACAATTTGTCGCTTTTCCTCATGGATGATTCTCTCTCGCTCCATACGGCATTGTTTGAGTTTTGCATGCCTCTCGGCTTCATAGACCTCAAACAGGCCAGTAGCCACTCTCATGGAGCGACCTGGGGCTTCTCTCACAAAGTCATTGACAGGACGTGGCAGCAGCTCGACTGGTTTGACTCCACAGCGGGCACAGGCCTCCAAGGAGCAAGGACTGGTGAGGACATAGCGGCTGCCTTCTGCTTCGGGAGAGTCAAAGTTGAAAAGATCGAGGTGCAGCTTGGGAGACTGCTCTCTCTGCCTTCCTAGGACTGAGTGGTCAGCATTACTTTCAGATTCATTTCTACTTGAGGCTTTGGAGGCCTCAGAGGCTGTAGCCGAGCATTCAGATGCTGGATCCTTGCTTTTTGCTTTTTCCTCTGCATCGGATGGATCCACCATGGTTAGGGCAGGCTAAAAAAACATTTAGATAAATTAAAATCAGGAGGGATTATGCTCTTTAGAGATTAAGAGTGGTGCAATTAGTAGCTAGTGAATTAAGGTAGCTTGAACAAACATCCATATTTTTATGAAAACGTTCTACTGAGTACTGTGTGCTGTGGAATTGGGAATTATGGAATTATATATAAAGCTATGCTACCTAAGATTTAATATGTTTAAATGTTGCTTGTGAAATAGTAAGACTGTGTAAGCCATACACCATAGTACCGCACACATTTTACCAATATATGCAGTTATAAATCTAAATACATTTTTGACTACTGCAATTTCCTATGCTTATTTTAAAATACACTTATCTCGATGTCGCCATAAGAACAATAGAAAAAATGTTTAATGTTTTTATCCTTTCTCCGTTCCGCATCTCACTGAGCATCGAAACCCTCAGCTGTTATATAATAATATTAAAATATATACAGTTAAATTAATTTAGTTTCTAAGAATAACATGCATTGCCTAAAAAAACGAAAATTGGACGGAACTACAAATAAAAAACGATGAAATGCACTGACCTTTTTGATCGTTGATCAGTTTTAGCATCAAGCTTTGTTTCACCCGTCTGTCTTCCGCCTTTCCCTTCAGTGTCTGCATTATAACAGGTTACTGAGAGAACAAACAGCACCCATTCAATTCTGCTCTTCCCGTGGAGACCATTTAATTCTAAAAAGGGGCAAGGCACAAACAAGCATTTAACTCCGTAAACGTTGTTAAGGATAATCCCAGTAAAACCTGTCCGTCCTCCCTCGACGCAAAATAGAACTGAAGCTCTGCGTTGTTCGCCCCCACCGTCTGTATTGGAGACCTTTATTTCTCTCCACTCTGAAAACACTCTCGGTGCCGGATAACCATTCAGTTGCATTTTCTCATGTCATCGCCTAAAATCTATTACTACATACAGTAAATATGCAGTTATAACGACCATGAGTATTTTGTTTATTAATTCATAGTGGCTATCCGGCAAAAGTACGCAGGGGCGCCAGGACACACCTGAAACTCACAATGCAATGATTACAATGGTGTTTCTGTTGTCTATAAATGGATAGAACGTATTTGTGTAATGCAATCAGTTAACAAAATCTCTAAATGAAATCACATACACCAGTCTCTGGTGATAATAAAATAATAACGCAGTTAAAATTATTGTAAAATGTTGTTAAAAATTGAAAACGAAAAGAAGCTTTTCTTCAAATATGAGAAATTTGAAATAATATAAATTACTGTAGATGCTGCCAAGTTGGCTTTCAGTAACACCATAGTGCTTTTAGTACTGTCTGGCTTGACTGCAAAGGAGCAACTGAATTAGCCAACCCGTCCACTGTAGCGAAGGGTTGAGTTCCTGGATTTTAGCATGTTTCCTGCTGCCAGAGAGAGGCCAGATGCTGGATTGAAGACCCACCCCTCCAGAGTAAAGGGCAAATTGAACTGATCGAGACAGATATATTGTAGCGGTCCTCCCTAAATTTCCCTCTGCTGAGCGAATGGCGATACAAAAAGAGGAGCAGGAGACAGGACTGCAGCTCACTGATTTAATGATGTTATATATTATTATATAATAATATATAAGATATAATTACATTATATAATATTACCCACTATAATAATATATTATATTATTAATATTATATGTTAGTAACGTGTTTGTGCTGCATTAAATGTTAATGAAACTGTAGCTTTATTTAATATATATATAAAAACTGGTAATAGGTTTATTCCATGTTGAAAAGAGAAGAAACTGAACCAGGTCGACCCGGAAATGTAATCCAGGGTATCATCTATCCACGGCAGCAGATAGTCCTTCCGGGTGACCTGGTTCAGTTTTTTGTAGTCGACACAAAACCTCCATGAGCTGTCCTTCTTCTGGATCAGGATGACCGGAGAGGACCATGGGCTCGCGGAGGACTTGATCACTCCTGCTGCAGCCATCTCCCGAACCTTCTGCTCCGCAGCCACCCACTTGATGTGGGCCATCTGCCAGGGCGGAATGCAAATGGTCCTTGCATCCCCAGTGTCAATTTCGTGCTGTGTGAGAGCCGTGTGGGTGCAGTCCTCATCTCTCGCTGCATACACAGATCTTTGTTCTCGGCAAGAAGATGTCTTGGATAATGCCCTTGCTGCTATGACGCAAGTGTTCCCTTAAAGCACTCCTTGTCTCCCCCCTGCGCTTGGCCCCCACATTTTCCCCAGTGGCCGCCCCGTCATCCGTCCGGCCGGGCAGCTCAGAAACTGGCTCTGGCATGCTTGCCCTAAGACTCTCAGCTCCAGGAAGCCCCTGGCAACGCCCACTGCCACCATCTCTGCTTCCCACTCTGGTAAGCCCGCGCACCCTGGACACCCCACCATCCCGCTCCGCCCCCCATGAGACAGATTTCCCCTGCCCCACCAACTCCCGCTGTCCCAAGTCAATACAACTACCCACCTACCGCAACCAATCCAACCCCAGACTGTAGTCTTCACAGATTGGGGTGAGATAGAAGGGGTGTTTCACCCTCGTGGCTACAAATTGCATGGTAAGCGCCCTCTTGCTGAGGACCTCCACGCACTGTCCAGTCACCGTCCTCAGGCGCAGGTTGGTAGTTTCCCATTCTGGTGGTCTGGCTGTCTCAGCAGGACATCGGGCTAGGGCAGGGTGATGGTCTAGCCGGTGTCGACCAGGGCCTGGCAGGGTCTTGTCAAGGAAGTCCAAAGGGACTACCCGAGGGCAGCAGGAGAGCGGAAAAAGACCCATGTGCGTAGCGGCGAGACGGGAAAAAGGCCCGGGCTCGTAGTGCAAAGAGTTCAGGAATGCCGTATAGAAACCTATGCCCTCAGGTAGCGGACGTGGGGCAACCTGGTGCTAGGCGGGTCTCAGGACATCCGAACGTCAATGCTGAGCCCAGACAGAGTGCAAGACCCACAAATATATAGCCCAAGGGAAAGAGAGCAACCGGAAGGACAGCAGACCGGAAAACTAGGGACAGGACAGAGAAGGAGCGCCCTCTGCAGCCAGAGGGCATGACAGGTCTGCCCTCACTGAGGCAGGGGAGAAACAAACTCCGGCTGTGGCCAAACCTTCCCACAGTGGAAGGTGGAATGTAGCACTCCATCTGGCTCTCCGGAACAGGGGTAGCATTGTTCAAGGGAGGCCTGCCCTCCTTTAGACTTCCCAACAGTGGCCCCGGGGTGAAGTGCCACCTTTCTCCACAGTACTGACGGGTGACTCACCGTCGCTGCTCCGCCTGTGTCGCTGCGCTGGTCGTCTCCTCCTCCCTACCTAAATCCTCCAATGTGGCCTCCACTGCCCGGCAGAGACCACCCTTCTGACTGTGCCCACCAGTCTCCTCAAACACTGCCTGCTCAGACAGAACCAAGGCTAGCATTGCATGGCACTGCAACTCCATCGACACAGCGACCATGAGGAATGCCTGGAGTGTTATCTCCCGGTATGCCTCTTCCAGGACGGTAAGGTAACCCTGGCGGGCCATGTCTGCGGCGATCGGCCCCAGGGGCTCTCCCGGTAGGCGCCTGCGTTGGGCCATCTTTGCCCGCAGAAGTTCCGGCGCCTCCTTTTCCTGCTGAAACGCCTCTGGAGGACTGACGCCAACATCGTGTAAAAGTACCGTTGGTCATTGGGGACATCCAGCAGACCCTAGCAGGCCTTCCCTTCCAGGGATGCGACGAGGTGGCCTGCCATCTCCACCTGGAACCAGCCATTCACCCAGTCCAACATCTGGAACTGCACCTCGTACAGCTGCCACGGCACCTCCCGTTGTAGCAGCTCCGCTGCACCAGCAGGCTGGTCCCCCCTGGTCTTACGTCCCTTTCTTCCTGTGTCGCCTGAGGAGATGCGGGAAATAGTCCCTCCTCCACCGGTTATGCCGCTGTTGGATAGCCCGTTCTGGCTCCTGGCAGCTGCTGCTCACCCCCAGAAGGTGCTTTAGGCGGTTGTTCATCTGCTGGGAGAACCGGTGCTTCTCAGAGTCTGACGTGTCTCAGATCACTGTCCATCCTTCCCGCTTTTGTTGTAGCGTGACAGGGTCAGTGAAGATGGAAACAGGAACTTAAGCTCTTTTAATAAAGAACTCAGTGCTTTATTAGTCAGATGTGCGTCTGGCACAGCAACAGCAGCAGAGGAATGAAAAGCTGGATAAGGGTACAACACACTAGGGTCATTTGGGGTACAGGTACGTAGGTATAGGGTGGTAAGTGTACACCAATTCCAGATGGTCAGCGACACTGGCCAGTGGCTCCCTTAGTTCCTGCCCTGGCTACTACTCCTGTCCTGCCCATCACCGTGCACCTTAGCGGGGCGCTCTTTAGCCGCAATGCCAGGCGAGGGCACCACAATATATAGCCTAGCTGCAATTTTTTAAATATACTGTGCAGTTTTATTTCTCTGAAAAAAGGATTACATGCCATGAAAGGAACTTGAATTGGACTTTGTTTCTTTAAAATTCTCAGAAATTTTCTTTAAAAAGTTTAAGATTATGAGAAAATTTAATGTAGTGACCATAAACGTAAACAACTGAAATTGTTAATATTGCAATTGATTCCTTAAAATACCACAGCTGTTTGTGGTTATCAGAAAAGATGTTACAGTGAGTAACAATAAAAAACATTTATTAACCTATTAGTGCTTTCCTGCACTAATCGTACTGTAAGAATACTGTACTAGCGGCAAACAATTTCGTTATGTACAATTATTGTATTGTTGAGACTGGATATTGTTATGATAACTCCAAATGAGATTCTGTAACGCTAAGAGAATTACCAATTTTTGTAATTACATACATTATTATGTAAATGAACAAGTAATAGGTTTATTCCATGCTGAAAAGAGAAGAAAGAAAACACAATGTTTCGGCTGTGGAGCCTTCTTCAGGTGTGAGAAAGACAAGGTAGTAAGCAAAGGTAATGTAGCGGGAGAACAAAAGCTGGGAGAGAGGAGGAGCGAGGGGCGGGAGCAGGACAGAAAGAGAGGCCAGTCAGGAGGTGTGAAGTCAGGATAGATTAACAGAGGTGTTGAAATAAAGCCTACAATGAATAGAGAGAATTTAGAAGAAAAGTCATTAAGAGAAGGGGGAAGGTGTGATCCTAGCTGCTGGATAATTTTAGTTTCTGTAGTCTTTCTGATGTAGGAGTTCGGAAAACCATCTTTGGGGAACACAAAGAGATTAGTGTGATCATGGCCGTCAGAGGTGAGATGAGAAACAATGGGCTTGGAGAGTCTCCGAAGTGGTCTCCGAGTCTCCTTCCTGTTTCTCCAAGGCTGGGTATTTACTGCAAGAGATACACAGTAAATAAGGTTGTTGGAGGTACAAGATGCCATCTGGGTGATCTAGAATTGTCCTGAGGGGCCTTGAATGAGTGTGGTGTTAGATATGTATTTGCAGGTGATACAGTGAGCTCTGTTGCAAGGGAAAGTGCCTGGTGTGGATGGTTGCTGAGGGCAGACAAGGAAGCTGTGAACAAGGTTACGCAGATTAGGTGGTTGGTGATATGAGATAATGGGGCGTTCAGAAAAGAGGGCCCCAATGGAGGGATCATCCTGTAGGATGGAAAAGTTGTCGTTAATAGTCCTGGGGATAGGAAGTGTGTTGGGGTGGTAGGGAAGCACCAAAGGAATGCAGCTGTTACGGCGAGAGTTACGGATTGAGTTTTGGTTCGGGCAAGGGCCCTGTCAATAACTCTGCTAGGGTCCTCTTTTGATGAAAAAGGAGTACATTTTGAGGGCTTGGTTCTGGATTTTTCTTCCTCTTCCTTCCAGAATCTTTGTGTACGCTGTAAGGTTTTTACTTCTTAATTAAACGTTTAAAATACACAAATTTCATAAAGACAACACACATTTCGAAGAGAAAAAATCACATTCTTTTCTCTTCCTGTTGTGTGAAACTGATCAGCAGGTCTTTTTTTCCCAATCAGAGGCTCTGAAAATAGCGTACCGCCCACTGCACTCCGTCAGAGAGGGGTGCGGCACCGAGAGAGAGAGGAGGCGCGGAGCTCAGCAGTACAGAACGAACGTTCTGCTGCCTGGAGCGCTTATGGCAGCAATCGCGT